CTCCCAGACGAAGGATCCCCGGGCTTCTCCAAAAGTTAAAGAGCACCTCAACGAGCAATTGGGGGATCTTGCAGTGGAGGGCCCTGTCCCCAAGCCAGGCCAAAACGAACGACTCGTAATATTTCATCGCGTTCTATATGAACCCAGCCGTGGCCCTACCATTCGAAGAAGCCTGCTCAGTCCGAAGCCCCTGGTGTTAGATCGCCGCCTCCGAACTCTGGCCCCATCCAAAAGACCAGTAGGCTCGATGGGCCCGTTCCAGGATATGACGGTAATGCTTAACCGTGAAATGGAAATTTCATCCGCGGGAAAAAAACGCTTGAACGTGATTAGACACTACGTGCATATACTACGTAAGCGCACGACTTACATACATTACGTAAATACACTACGGCAATACCCTAGTACATTCATTATGCAAAAAGCTCAAACGTGAAAGAGACATTCGGTACATATACGTACGTCTGTTTGAGCAGTTCAAACGTGACAAAGGCACGGCGTGAAAACACTACGTCATACGTCACTACACTACGCCAATACACTACGCCAATGCATGACGTCAATACTTTACGAACATCAATTACGTATATTACGTCACACCAGCAGAAAGCTCGGAGGTGAAATATACTTTACGTAAATACATGACGTAGATTATGTATGCCACCAGTACGGAGTTCCAACGTGAAATAGACACTACGTAAAGACATCACGTACATAAGGTTACACCAGCGAGCAGTTCAAACGTGACAAAAGCACTACGTGAGTATACTACATGAGTTCACTACGCCAACACACGACCACGACTTAGGTAATGTCACGTCAGCAGAAAGCTCGGAGGTGAAATAGACAGCACGCACATACATTACGTAGATTATGTGACACCAGCACGGAGCTCCAACGTGACATAGGCACTACGTAAGTTCACTACGAAGATGCAGTTGTATGTGCCAGCGAGCAGCTCCACCGTGACAAAGGCACTACGTGAATACATTACGTAAATACAGCACGCAAACACACTGCGTGAACTCTACGCAAACACGACGCGAACACGTGAAACATTACGCCATACATTGCGCAGATGACTTCACACTCAGGCGCACGCACAACGCAGCCCTGGGCACAGTAGCGCTACCACGGGCATCCCCAGCACTGCCACTTCCCATCGCCCGATCGAGGTATTGGAAGCGCCCCCAGGCCTCGCAGTTGCGAAACCCTTCCTAAGTTCGCGGGTCAGCCACGGAAGCGCAGGACGCGAAACCATTACGCGAAAACATTATGCGCGAAATCATGACGTCCGCTTGCGACGCGAAAGACACCGCGCGAAATACACCGCGCTGGAGCACTACGCCACTGCGCTACGTCAACACACCGCGCCAGCACACTACGCAAACGGATTACGTAAAATACACAAAATTGAATTTGCTACGCACATGCGTTGCGCGAGCACACTACGCGAAAACGCTACGCAAATGCACTGCGTCAATACACCTTACGTCAAGACACTACGTAAAAACATTACTCACATACACTACGCAAATCCACGACGCGCGTACACCAGCAAAGCCACTACGCAAATACACTGCGCGGCGCGTCCCTCGCCGCGCCCGAGCGGCAACTGCACGACGCAAATACGTTGTGCAAATGCGCTGCGTGGCAGCGCCCCCAGGCCTCGCAGCTCCGAGTCCTTCCCCGAGTTTGCGGGCCGACCGAAACGCACGACGCGGAAACGCTACGCGACACCGTTGCGCGGACAGCCAACTCCGCGCGGCGCCAGGCAATCCGCGAGACATATTGCGCAAATATTTCGCGCAAGCATTGCACGCCAAACGGCGACGCAAACACCGCGCGCGAAAACGCTGCGCAAATACACCACGCGGGAGCACTACGCCAACGCACTGTGTCAGCACACTACGCAAACGCACTGCGTATAGTACATTGCGTATAATATTCCACGTAGATTACATGATGCAAATACGCTGCGCAAAAACACTATGGATGTACGCTACGCAGATACGCTACGCAAACACACTACGTAAATACACTGCGCAAATACGCCACGTGAATACCTTGCGAAATACACCACGCCAATACACTACGCAAGTGCACTACGTGGCACGCTCCCTTTCACGCCCCACTGCGGCGCAGCGCGGCGCAGGGGGGCGCGACGCAGCCCCCCGCGCAGTAGCGTCACCGCGGACACCTCCGGCATGGCCACTGCCCATCGCCCGATCGAGGTGCCGGGGCAGCTTCCCCAGGCCTCGCAGTTGTCCCTCTCCGAGTTTGCGGGTCGACCGCGGAAGCGCGCGACGCGAAAAAACCACGACGCGGCAACGTTGCGCGGAGCGCGAATTCCACATAGGGGAGGCTCTCCACGTGGGAAAGCTAGCTCCACGCAGGGAGTACACCACGTTAATACAGTACGCAAGCACACGATGCAAATGCACTACGTAAGCACACTACGTAAATAGACTACGTGAATCCACTACGTAAACACATTGCGGGAATACACTACGCGAACGCAGTGCGCATATACACCACGTACACGTATTACGTAGATACACTGCGCAAACACATTATGTAAATACATGCCGTAAAACAATGCGCAAATACATTGCGCGAAAACATTAAGCAAAACACTACGCAAGTACGCTTACGTACATGCACGACGCAATTACACTACGCGCATACATTGCGTGGCTTGTTCCTTGTCGCGTCCCAGTGCGGCGCGACGCAGCGCGGGGGAGCGCGACGCAGCCGCCGGCGCAGTAGCGTCACCACGGACGTCTCCAGCATTGCCATTGCCCATCGCCCGATCGAGGTGCTTGGCAGCGCCCCCAAGACTACGCGAACGCTCCACGCAAACTACGATGTGCGAATACTCTGCGCAAGTATACTACGCAAACACACTACGTAAATGCACTGCATTAAAACACAACGTAAATATATCACGTAGATCCACGACGCAAATGCACTACGGAAATACATCTACGCAAATGCACTACGTAAGTACACTACGTCGGTTATTCCACAGTTAGGCGCAACTCTCGAAGGAACTCCTCAGCATGGCTCTGCCGAAGCCTTTCCCAAATCCGCGCAGGAGACCCCAGGAGCAGAATAGGGCGTGAATTTCCGTTGGGTTTCTCCGGCAGCGGCATCCGCATCCACACCAGAGGCAGGAGCGAGGCCTGGCTTCTCGACCGCCCCTTACGGGAAAGACAGCACCATGAGCCCCGAGTCGCTGAGGCATGCGGCATGCAAATTGGCGCTGGTGTAAGCCATCCAGCGACTGGTTCGTGTGCTTGCTGAAAGACCTCGCCGCGCGCTTCGACCCCATCAGCAACGTCGCTCCGTCCTTCTCATGCAAGCCTTGCTCCTGTTGCCAGCCCCATCCCTTGGTCTCCACTTGTCTTGCGGCTTTCGCAGCTGCATGTGGTTGGGTCCTCCGCCAGGCTAATAGTAGCTGCATTGGTTCTGGTCGCCCGTGTGCTGAAACCCTGTGTTTGTACGTTGGCGGATTTCGCTCAAGGGGCAAGTTCTGAGGCTATGTCTGTCGCGGGGCCTGATTTGTAAGGGAATTGCGGGGAGCGAGAGTTCACCCCCTCACAGGGCCCCCAATCGGAGGAGGAGGAGGAGGAGGAGGAGAAAGAGGAGAACGAGGAGGAGAAAAAGGAGAGACAAGGAGGAGGAGGAGGACGAGGAGGAGGAGGAGGAGGAGGAACTCAAGCCATGTGTTGTTACATGGGTTCTTCTCGCCCACGAGCTAGAACAATGTGGCTTCACCTGTGTTCCTTTCGCCCGTAGGGCAGTTTCTGATGTCTCGGGCGGGGGCTTCGTCTGTGAGGGAATGGCGAGGCGATCTCGGGCGGCAGCCCCTCCCTTATGGGGCCCCCCAGAAGGAAGAGGACGCTGAGGAGGAGGAGGAGGAGGAGGAGGAGGAGGAGGAGCAGGAGGAGGAGGAGGAGCAGGAGGAGGAGGAGGAGGAGGAGGAGGAGCAGGAGCAGGAGGAGGAGGAGGAGGAGGAGGAGCAGGAGGAGGAGGAGGTCGAACCGAGAGAGGGCGGCTGGCCCCGAGCGGCTCGCCGGAGGCCCGCATCACGTAGGGCCGAATGTGGCCGGTCGGCGCAGCGAGGCTCGAGGGCCGAGGGGTGTTTCGGGCGCCTCGGAGTGCCTCTCTGGGTCTTGGGCCTTCGGGGCGGCTTCTCGCCGCCACGGCGGGGCTCAAGGCGGCGCTGAAGCTTCGCTTGCCCATCTCTGCCTCCCTCCCTCCCTCCCTCCCTCCGTCGCGGTTCGTCCTGGCCTCTCGGAGTGCGGCTCCCTCGGCAGGAGATGCCGTGTGGTTCCAGGAGGGTGAGCCACTCGGCTTCGTCCCAGTCTCGGTGCGTTGTGTCTCGATCCGATCTGGGTCGGTTCGGCCCTCGTCTCGGTCAGCACTGTTTCGGTTCGTCCTGTCTCAGTTCGTCGCGTCTCGGTTTGCCGCGCTCATCTTGTTTCGATTGCTACCAGCTCGCGTTCAGGCAGCTCGAGCTCAAGATCCAGATCTGTTCGGCCATGATGCAGATGGCAAGGGCGACCTGATCCACAACGCAATGGAGCACAGCACAGTTCAACGCCGCATAACACATCTTAATTCAGCACAGCACGGCCACGCAGAGCGCAGCCCCTGGCACGGTACATCACCATCGATAATCTGCAGCGCTGCACTTGCCCGACGCCCCAAGAGGGTGCCTTGAAAACGTCTCCATGCTTCATGTGTCTATAGTAATTGCCGTGCTTGTGGGTCGATCATGTTTGGCCCAGGCACGGATCCCAGGGCCCATTGGCGTCATTGCTGCTCCTCCTCCTCCTCCTCCACCTCCTCCTCCTCCTCCTCCTCCTCCTCCTCCTCCTCCTCCTCCTCCTCCTCCTCCTCCCGCTCCTCCTGTGTGCTCCACCTCCCCTGCGAGTGGGAGGGGCGGGGGGCGGTGAGCTGGGCAGAGCTGGTGTTGCTTCGGTGCTCCCCAGGAGGGTGGGCTCGTGGGCCTGGGGCTGACGCAGCTGCAGGCGAGGAAGGTCTGCCGTCGGGTGCGCGAGCTCAGCCTGGGAGCGCACGCGGGCGCCGGCTAAGGAACAGGAAGGCTGGTCGTCGGCTCCTGCTTCTGGTCTCTTCCCTCCCTCCTCTGCTGCTCGCGGCTCGCTGCTGCTCTCTGGCGTCGTCTCAGAGCGGGCGCCAATGCGAGTGTGGCCTTGTCCGTTTCACCGGGGGCTCTGCTGGCCTCTTTAGGATGTGTAGGCGTGCGTGGACCGTGAGGCATTGGTGCGGGTGGGTGTTGCACCGGAAGACAAGAAAACAAGGGCTGATCGTCCCCCCCTCACCTTGCGATTCTTCGCGCCCTTCCTCGTCCGCCTGCTTATGCTCTCCCCCCCTCCTCTCCCCCCTTCTCTTCTTCTTCCCCTCGCTGCGCATCCTCCTTCTCCACTGTAGCAGATTCGCACAGGAGCATCGCTCCACAGTGGTGCCTCATGCGCCTCTCCCCATTCTCGTCCCCTCGCCGCTCTTTGTCTCCAGACCTCCAGTCAACGCGGAAACGTCGCGGCCGATGCTTGCGCAATTTTCGCCGTCTGGTTTTCTCCAGGATCCAGGGCCGTCGGAAAACTATTCTGGGGGAGCAGCTGGTCTCGGGGCAGAGGTCGCGAGCTCCGAGGGCAGGCGACTCGACAAGATCGGGTCGCCTCTGGTCTGGGTCGCCGCCGTCCTTTTCTTGCTCCTCTGGCTAGGCCTCCGTCTGTTGCTCCAGATCCTCTTCCTGCTGCGAATCTTCTGCTTCGACGCCTGCCCCCATCCTCCCTGCCGATTCTGGCAGGAGAGCAGCAGGCACGACCGGCACTGGCACGACCGGCACTGGCGGACATCATTGCGCGTGGCGGTGGTGGTGCGAGCACTGGGCACCGATGGCTCTGTTCGGATTCGAGGATTCCCAGGTGAGGTCGGCGTCACGCTGCTTGTGGTCAGATCTCTCCTGTATGGGTCTCCCGTATGGTCTCTCGCATATAGTCTCGCCCGCGTGCCTCCCGCGCTGCCTCCCCGCACGGCCTCGGGTACGGTATCCTGCATGATCTCTCGCATGTTCTCCTGTGTGGTCTCCCGCAGGGTCTCTGGTACAGCATCACGTGCGGTTTCCCGTAGGGGGTCTCCCATGTGGCCCCCCGTAGGGTCTGCAGCATGCTCTCCCGTGTGGGCCTCCCGTAGGGACTCCCAGTCTGTGGTGTCGTCTCCCGTCTGGTCTCCCGCCCGCGTCTCCCGTGCGGTACTCCCGTTGGCCTGCGGCATGGTCTCCAGCGTGGTCTCCCGTGTGACCTCCCGGATGGTCTCTCGGGCGATCTCCCGCCTGGTCTCCCGCACGGGTCTCCCGCACGAGCCTCCCGCGTGGCCCCCAGGAAGAAGTCCTTCCGTATGGTCTCCGTTCTGTCTTTTGCAAGGCCTGGCGTCTGATATCCAATCGTACAAGGTCTTTTGTATGATCTCCCGTGTGGTCTCCCGCGTGGTCTCGAGTCTGTTTTTTCCGTATGGTCTCCGGTCTGTTTGTTGTGTGGTTTCCTGTCCGATATCCAGTAGTATGGTTGGTTTTTTGTATGGTCTCCCGTATGGGTCTCCCGCATGGTTTCTTTCCCCCTCCCTCTCCGCTGGAACGCGGGGCAAGCATGGACGGGCAGTCGCCGCTGAGAAGCCCACGGCACCCCTCGAAGTGCAGCGGTCCAGCGCGAGTTATTAGAAGTTGTTCTCGGGCCGCATCGTCGGTTTGACCCGTTTCTTTTTCTTCCTCCTATTGTTCTTCCTCGTCCTCGTGGTTATTCGTGGTGGTCCTCGTCCTCCGCGTGCGTCTCGGGGCCAGCGTTGTTTTCGCCAAGTGTCACCAGACCTGGTGGAGGGGAGGGGAGTGTGACGGCAGCAAGGGGCAAGGGGCGATGTTCGCTTGGCCGCTGGAGCATGCATCCAAGGACGCGCCCTGTGCGGGTGAAGGTATAGTACATTCCCGATGGGCTCCCGCCAAGCACTAAGTCCACCAGCCCATTTAGAAGCGGTGCCAAGCTGCTGTGGAAAGGAAGGAGGAATGCCCTTCCAATTCTAGACGCTTCGCGTATCCCCACCAGCCCATCCAGAAACGATGTCCAGGCGAGTCGAGGTGATCAGGGAAGTGCGGGAGCAAAGAGGTGCACGGCCGAACCGTGCGAAGGAGGGAGGAGGAGAAGAAGGAGGCTTAATGGATGAATGAGGGAGTGGGGAGAAGAAAGATGAATCTGATGATGTTGAGGAGGAGGAGGAAGAGAAGGAGTGGAAAGAAGGAGGAGTAAGAGGAGGAGGAGGGCGAGCAAAAGGGCCAGAGGTCTCTTGGTTGCCTCTCGGAGCCTCTTGCTTGGGATATCGTTTGGGCGCTTCTTGGTGGCCTCTTGTGACGTCTTGAGGGTTTCTTGGTGGTCCTGGGGGGCTCTTGGGCGTCTTGGGTGCATGGGGGGGGCCTCTTGGAGCGTCTGGGGGGCTTCTTGGGTGCCTCGGGAATCCTCTTGAAGCCTTTTGGGGCCCCTTGGGGGTCTCGTGGGAGCCTTTTGGAGGCCTCTTGGGGCCATCTGGGCGCCTCTGGGGGCCCTCTTGGGGCGTTATTGGGAGCTTTAGGGGCGCTATTGGGGTCATCTTGGAGGAGATCGATCAAAGAAAAAAAAAGTGAGTTTTTTTAGCGTCCCCCCCCCCCAAGAGGTCAACATGGGGCCAAAACCTTAGTACAACCAATGAGTTTGGCTTTCTCGCCGAGGCCGTTTTGGACGCTCCAGCGCGTCGCGCCCCCCCCCCCCCCCCGTCCAGGTCCAGGAGAGGAATCGGACTCGAGCTCTGGGGGCACTAGGTTCGTTTGATCGTGTGAGATGCTTGGGCAACTCCTGGCATACATCGCAAGTTTCTAACGTTCATATTAAACCTGTCTTCGCCCTGCGGACCTATTCAGGAACTTCTGGGGGGCCGCTTATATGCAGGCAGGAGCACTGCACAGGCGGTCTGAGGCACCCTCGTTTGCCGACTGAGCTGAGGGGCCTCCCCGCACCACAAACCACGAGAGATTCTTGGGGCTGAAGGGCGGGGCGAGCCACCCCGCCCTGGACAGTAGGCACTCAGAGGCCAATCCCACCATGCAGGGCACGACTGGCTCACGTCCAGCATCCAGCCTCAATCCTCCTCCAAACAGTTATCAAACACATTCGTTTGGGTTCGGGCGGGTGGGTGAGCCTGGCTCCCAGAAGAGGGCTCAGCGGCCCGAGAAACACCACGGCCGCTCACCCACCCCCCTGTTCCCCCTCCCTCTCCTCCGCCGCGCGGGCGGCTGCAGTGCTAAGCTCGGGGCAGCAGCACCCGGGTGTCGGAGAGCGGCCTCCAGCGTCACTGCACCTCGTTCCACCATCTTCAGGAGGGGAAAAACACAGACACAATTAATCGTCGATCCTCAGAAAATATGGGAAAATATAAGAAGTGGTGGGGAAGACAAAATCAGAGAAAATATGGTAAAAGATGGGGGTTTCTTGTATTCCCTACCTAGGCTCTGCCTAGAGGGTTCTTACTTTGTTTGTTTAAAGGGGCCGGGCAGTGTAAAAAACGCCCCGGGCGGTTCCCCCAGTCCCCGCCCCGCGGTTCCCCCAGTTGCGCCCCTTGGGTTTCCCTAGCTTAGCTTACCTTAGCTTAGCTCAGCTAAACTTAGCTTCGCTTAGCTTAGCTTTGCCTATCCTAGCTTAGCTTAGTCTAGTTTAACTTGGCTTAGCTTAGCTTAGCTTAGCTAAGCTCAGCTGATCTCATCTTAGCTTAGTTTAGCTTAGCTCAGCTCAGCTTAGCTTTGCTTTGCTTAGCTTAGCTTATATTAGCTTAGCTTAGCTTAGCTTTGCTTAGTTTAGCTTAGCTTAGCTTAGCTTTGCCTAGCCTGGCTTAGCTTAACTTAGCTTAGCTTAGCATAGCTTAGCTTACCTTAGCTTAGCTTAGCGCAGCGCAGCATAGCGCAGCGCAGCATTAGCACAGCATAGCATAGCATAGCCAAGCATAGCATAGCATAGCACAGCATAGCTCAGCATAGCATCGCATAGCATAGCGCAGCATAGCACAGCATAGCATAGCATTGCTTAGCATAGCACAGCGCAGCATAGCATAGCATAGCACAGTATAGCACAGCATAGCATAGCATACCATAGCGCAGCATAGCATTGCATTGCATTGCATTGCATTGCATTGCATAGCGCAGCATAGCATATCATATCATAGCCTAGCATAGCGCAGCATAGCGCAGCATAGCGCAGCATAGCGCAGCATAGCATCATGCAAAGCAAAAATAAAACCAACGCGAACGTGTAGATGTATATGTAGGTGTATGTGTAGGTGTAGATGTGGATGTAGGTGTAGATGTAGATGTAGATGTAGATGTAGGTGTAGATGTAGGTGTAGATGTAGATGTGAGTCTCGCTGTTGATGTTGATGTAGATGTAGATTCAGGTGTCGATTTACATGTAGCTGTCGGTGTAGATGTAGATGTTGCTTTCCTAATGCTCCAACTCCTAGGTAGGGTCGCACTGGGATCATTTGTGTGTATTGATTTGTGTGTCCCAGGGCCCCTTCACATCTGCAGGAGACGATGGGAGAACTGCCCGGCCTGCACGCGCTGGATCGCCGTCAGCCGCCGGGGCGGTCGTACAGGTTCCAGCTCTACGACCTCTTCCTGCCCGTCGACGAGCCCTCGAGCACCCCGAGGAGCTCCTGCGCGGCCCGCTCCAAGGGGCCCCTGGGAGCTGGGCCGCGCTTCTTGGTGCCGCCGCTCTGCACCAGCGCCGCCAGGGTTGCCATCTGCACCGTGGCAAACTCCGTGCTCATCGCGATCGTCACCTTGGCGAGGCATGGCTTCCCGTCCTTGTCCTTGGCTGCCTTGCATTTGCAGTACATCACCTTGCCCAGCAGATCGATTGGTGTCTTGCCCTCCGCTGCCACTTCCTTCGTCCAAAACTCGGTCAGGCACTACTTGGTGGCTGGCTCGAGCTCTATCTGCGTCTTCGACAATCCGAGCATGAGGCCTGCGAAGATGTGCACGTACGGAGGGCCAAGGCGG